ATCTAAACAAACAAACAAACAAAAAAACAAACAAACAAAAAAAAAAATAAATAAATAAATAAATAAATAAAAAACAAATAAACAAAACAAACAAATAAACAAAACAAACAAACAAACAAACAAACAAAACAAAACAAAATAAAATAAATAAATAAAAAATAAAAATAAAATAAATATTTATATTTACCTTAACACAGGAGATGAGCGCATCCTCAAGCCTGCATCCTTGTCTTTGTCTGCATTCTATTTCTAGGGATAGAGAAGAAAGAATAAAACTGATTAGTTTTTTATTTACTTCTGCTGCTAGCACACGCAAATTAAAATAAAAAAATAAAAAAGAAGAAACACGAAGATAGCCGCTCCATACAGCAGGGGCCCCACACTTAGCTGCAGCAGGAGAAGAGAAGTCTAGGGTTAGTTTTATTTTTGTCTTGCTGCTGCTGCTGCTGCTGCTGCTGCTGCTGGTGGTGGTGGTGGTTTTGCCTGCTGCAGCAGCAGCAGAACGAAGAGCACGAGCTATGCGTGTTTTTATGTGTGTTTTTGTTTTTTTTTTTTGTTTTTTTTGTTTTTTTTTTGGCTCTTTTTCTGTCTCTTCTTCGTTATATTCTGTCTCTTCTGTCTCTCCCTCATCCTCACCCTCATATTCTGTCTCTTCTTCTGTCTCCTTTCTTTTTCTTTTTCTCCATAGCTGCTGCAGCGCGCCCCCCAGCCCCCTTTTACGTTTGCTGCCTCCTGCTGCTGCTGCTGCTGCATCATCATCATCATCGTCATCTGCTGCTGCTGCTGCTGCTGCTGCTTCTTCTTCGTCTTCTCCTCTCCCCTTAAACAAACGGCGCAGCCCCGCAAACTCAACAAATACAGCACCAGGTGCTGCTGCTGCAGCAGCAGCAGCAGGTGCTGCTGCTGCAGCAGCAGCAGGTGCAGCAGCAGGTGCAGCAGCAGCAGCAGCAGCAGCAGCAGCAGCATGCATCTGTAGAAACCCTTCTTCTGCTTCTTCTCCCCATTCTTCTGTCTCCATTCCTCTGCTGCCAGCAGCAGCAGCAGCAGCACCTTCTGCTGCTGCTTCTGCTGCTGCTGCTGCTGCTGCTGTTTGGGGGCCATATGTATAAAAGACAAAGGGTTTAGGTTTATTTATATCTTTTTGCGTCAGCACAACAGCAACCTGCAGCCGCACGTATCCTTTGTGGTCCACCATACAAGAAGACATATCAGCAACAGCAGCAGAAGGGGCGAGAGAGAATATATGTTTTTCTCCATACTTTGTTATCCTGCTGCTGCTGCTGCTGCTGCTGCTGCGGTGGTTGCTGCTGCGGCTCCTGCTGCTGCTGCTGCTGAAACTAGAAAAGCTGCTGCTGCTGCTGCTGCTGCTGTCTTCCATCATTCCCACTTCTGCTGCCTCATCGTCTGCTTCGTATGAATCAAATCCAGGCATTGTCTCTAAAAAACTGCTGCTGCTGCTGCTGCTGCTGCTGCTGCTGCTGCTGCTGCTGCTGCTGCTGGTGGGTATTTGTATGAAGGCCGTGTCTTCGTCTTGGTACTCTTCTTCTCCCTCTGCAGCCATTGCTTCTTCTTCTGACTCAAATCCCCCTGCTGCTGCTGCTGCTGCTGTTGCTGCAGTTCCCGCTGCAGCAGCAGCAGCAGCAGCAGGAGAGGTTGCTGCAGCAGCAGGTGGTAGTGTGGGTGTAATCTGTGCTGCTGCTGGTATTGTTCTCTCTATCTCTTCTTTTGTTGCTTTTTTATAAACAAACAAAGAAGGGGGGGCCCCCGAAATGAATATATTTTGTATTAGGGTTATATATCCTTTTTGCTGCTGCAGCAGCAGACAGATTTTCGGTAGTCCTGCTGCATGCAGCGGACACATAAAACAAAAAGAAAAAGAGAAACAAGAAAGGCGAGCAGCAGAATAAAAAGAATGAGCAGCACCAGCAGCACAGCCTGCATGCGTACATACAGATGGAATATCCTTCTGCTGCTGCTGCAGCTGCAGCTGCAGTTGCTGCTGCTGCTGCAGCTGCAGCAGACTCGATACAGTAGAGATACTTGCTGCTACAGGAGATCCTGCTGCTGCTGCTGCTGCTGCTGCTCCTGCTGCTGCTGCTGCAGCACCTTCGTCAGCCTCATCTCCCCCGGTTGTTCTTGCTGCTGTTGCTGCTGCTGCTGGTGTTGCTGCTGCTGCTGCTGCTGCTGCTGCTGCTGCTATTCCTTCTCCTGCTGCTGCAGTCGAGCAGCTAGCGAGGAAAGGAGAGAGCAGCAGCAGCAGCAGCAAAGCCGTCAGCAGCAGCAGATGATGCGCTGCTGCCATTCCTTTGTTGGATACCCAGAAGACAAACATCACCGGGACCTTGAAATAAACCTCTTGATGCTGCTGCTGCTGCTGCTGCTGCTGCTGCTGCTGCTGCTGCTGCTGCTGCTGCTGCTAGAATATGTAGTTGTGCTTCGAGGGCCGGGCTGCATCGGTGAGATGCAGCCCTAAACCCTAACCCTGATGGTTCTAGGGTTTAGGGTTTAGGGTTTAGGGTTTAGGGTTTACGGCGGCTCGATAGACAAAGAAGGAGACTGAGGCAGCAGCAGCAAGAACAGCAGCAGCAGCAGCAGCAGCAGAGACAGCAGGCTTATAAGCTGCTGCAGCCGCTACACACTTGAATTCCTGCTGATGTTTCTGCTGCTGCTGCTGCTGCTGCTGCTGTTGATGGGCTTATGTATTGCTGCTGCTGCTGCTGCTGCTGCTGCTGCTGCTGCTGTTGCTGCTGCTGCTGCTGCTGCTGCTGCAGCANTGCTGCTGCTGCTGCTGCTGCTGCTGCTGCTGCTGCTGTTGCTGCTGCTGCTGCTGCTGCTGCTGCAGCAAGGGCGGGAGGAGCAGCAGGGTATTTCTGTGTATTTTTTCGTTTTGTTTAATCGAAATATTTAAAATAAAAACAACAAATATTAAAAACAGTTTAAATAAATTAAAATTAGGGTTTGTGGTTGCGAGGTTTGGGGTGTATAGGCAGCTTGGCTCACCACCCCGATGCGCGGCGGCGGCGCTGCTGCGCCTGCTGCCGATGGTGTTTTTTTTTTTCTTTTTTTAGTTTTATAAATTAATTTATTTATTTATTTTTATTAAATTTAATTAATTTTCAGCTGTATATACACCAAGAAACTATATTATTTACCCCAATCGATGCAGCAACCACTGAGCGAGCCCTCGAGGCCAATGGACTCACCGCCGACCGAGGGTTTAGGGTTTAGGGTTTAGGGTTTAGGGTTTAGGGTTTGTTGCTTTAGGTGGCACCAGGCTGAAGGGTTTATCTAGTAATTTCAAGGGTTTAGGGTTTATGGATTAGGTTTATTATTTTTAGTTTATGTTTCGCTACAAGGGTTTAGGGTTTAGGGTTTAGGGCTACCGAGGGTTTAGGGCTTAGCTGCTGGGGTTTAGGGTTTAGGGTTTAGGGTTTACACCCAACAGATACAACTAAAACAAAATATATTGAAGACTCAGTGCTCAAGGGTTTAAGGGTTTAGGGTTTAGGGTTTACCCATACCACAGGGTTTAGGGTTTAGGGTTTAGGGTTTGGGGTTTACGTTTAGGGTTTAGGGTTTGAGCCCCTAGGGTTTATATTTCAGGGTTTAGTGTATGAGGTTCAGATGGCTAGGGTTTAGGGTTTGTACTAGGGGAGTTCGCTGTAGCCAGTGAAAGTGTTTAGGGTTTAGGGTTTAGGGTTTAGAGATTAGGGTTTAGGGTTTAGGATTTAGGGGTGTCTGTACACCCGGTAGGTTTGGTTCAGTAAGATGCAGAGCATCGCGCTGCTGCTGCTGCTGCTGCTGCTTGCATGCAAGCAGCAGAGAGAGCTGCTGCTGCTGCTGCTACTGCTGCACGAACAGCAGCAGCAGCAGCAGCAGCAGCAGCAGCAGCAGCAGCAGAAGCTGCTTTTTGCTGCCTTCAAACAATAAAGATTTGTTGTATAAGAGAGACAGAGATACAGAAAAAAAGAAAAAGAAAAAGAAAAAGAAGAGAGAGAAAGAGACAAAAACAGAAAAAGAAAGAGAGAGACACAGAAGGAGATAGACAGAGAGAGAGACAGAAAGAAAGAAAGAGAAAAAGAAAAAAAAAAGAGAGACAGAAAGACAGACAGAGAGAGAAAGAGATAGAGAAAGAGAGACAGAAAGAGAAGACAGAAAGAGAGAGAAAGAGACAGAGACAAAGAGAGACAGAAAAAAGAGAAATAAAAAAAAAAAGAAAAAAAAGAAAAAGAGAGACAGAAAGAAACAAAAATAAATAAATAGGCCATCCGTTGTTTGGTTAGGTTTATCTATTCCTTAGCAGCAGCAGCAAACGTCTCTATGCTGTCTGCTGCTGCTGCTGCTGCAGGTGCTGCTGCTGCAGCTGCTGCTGCTGCAGCTGCTGCAGCTGCAGCTGCTCCTGCGGCTGCAGCTGCTCCTGCTGCTGCGGCTGCTCCTGTTGTTCCTGCTGCTGCAGCTGCTCCTCCTGCTGCTGCTGCTTGTGCTGCTCCCTCTGCTGCTGCTCCCCCTGCTGCTGTTGCTGCTGCTGCTGCTGCTGCTGCTGCTGCTGCTGCTGCTGCTGCTGCT